GAGTTAAAGGCATAGCAAGTGGGTAGATTATTTCTTTGAAGAGAGACATACTTATTATATCGCAACCATGAGATTTTGAGTTGTTTAGAGATCGGATGATGGTAATAATTTGATTGGGGTTTGTTGGGTTTAAGAAGAAAGACTGAAAGACTCTTGACTTTTTTTGGAAAGATAGTCTGAGAAATGAGCTTTGGGGCGTTTAATTTTGCTGGCGAGTTCGGGTCCGAAATTTATAAAAAAAATGAATCAAATGAGTTTGCATGAAGACTAGGATCATGTATTTTAGTATAATTTAGAGTCATGATATTCGTGAGTGGGGGATTTGTCTTTGTTCCCATAACCCCTTTGATGATTTTCCAAGTCGCATTAGTATTCGAACTGGCCTTTTATTCTTTCAGAAAAAATTAATCTACGAGATAAAAGAATTAATTTTGTTAATTTATTTTGATATATCTTATAATTTCAGTATTGTGAGTTGGATTGCGTATGTGTAATTTATAGAGGCGATTCCGCGTTTGTATGGATTTCAATAAACCTTTCGTTATCCAAGGTTTCTTGCCTTTTATTCTTGGGTTTACTTCGTTTGTTATTTACTTTGCCTACGGGGATATTCGTATCCTAATAGTACTGCAATACGGTGAGTTGATTTATGAAGTTAAACAAATAAATAAGGATATAAATTGATGAATTATATGGAAACGATTTTATAAACAAATCTTACATTATCTTAAATCTAAAAATAAAGCACCCGGTTCCGATGGATTCCCTGTAACATTTTATCAGGTGTTTTGGGTTGACCTAAATCACATTCTTGTGGGTGCCTTGAATGAGTGTTATGCTAACGAAGCTATGTCAAATACTCAAAGGAAAGGACTCATTACATTATTGTATAAGAAATGAGACCCCGAAAAATTGGAGGCCTACAACACTCCTGAACTGTGATTACAAAATAATAGCACCTGTTTTAACACGTAGGTTACAAAAAGTTATGAAGCATATTATTGACCCTAACCAAACTGGGTATATTAAAGGTCGTCTAGCGGCTCATAATGTTCGTTTAACAAAAGACATTACTGCATATGTTGAAGAAAAATGAAGCAAATGTGATGGTAGATTTCACTAAAGCATTCAATGTTATTGACATGCTTTTTGTAAATAGCTGTTTAGAGAAATTGAACTTTGGTCCGTCGTTTCGAAAAAGGGTCGAGGTTCTTTACACGAACATTTCAAGTTCAGTCATTGTAAATGGATGTATATCAGTAACGTTCCCAGTCAAGAGAGGGATTCGTCAAGGCTGTCCTCTTTCAGCATTACTGTTCATTTTGGCAGCTGAATTCATGGCTAATAGAGTTAGGGAAAATAATTTCATTCAGGAATTTGATTTTAAAGGGAGCCACTCTATATTTAAACTTTTACAATATGCTGACGACACCTTATTCTTTGTTAGAAATAAAAATTCTTTAGGGCATACAATAGATGAATTGGACTTATTTGGAAAAATCGAGAGCCCGAAATTAAATAAAGATAAAACTGTTCTTTTCTGGATTGGAGATTGACAAGAAAAGGTGGTCTCTCTCCGACCTTGATCTTTGTTGGTCAACAGAATCTGTACAGTACTTAGGATATTTTTTTTCTGCAGACTTATATAATGCTACGAAATTGAGTTGGGAAAATAAATTGACCAAACTACAGAAACTTCTGGATAACTGGAGGAGCAGAAACCTCACAATATTTGGAAAAATCACTGTTGTTAAAACACTGGCTTTAAGTCTAAAAGTTCATTTAATGATGGTAGACATGATTCCACCAAAGTGTTTGCAGAAATTGAATAAATTAGTTTTCAATTTTATTTGGAAATCCAAAATCGACAAGGTAAAAGGGTCCATGCTTACTCAAGATTATAGCCAAAGGGGTAACGTATGGTTAACACTGAGAAACAGATACTGAGTTTTCGTTTACGATGGCTTAGTAGATTATTGGATGACAGTAAAGGTCCACGGAAAGATATGTGTAATTATTGGTTAGATTGGCTCGGTGGCGTGAACCTTCTGTTAAACTGTAACTATGACCATAAATTATTTGATGTCCAGAAATCGCAACTCCCTGATTTCTATCTAGAAATATTACAAGCCTGGAATTATGTGAAAGGTTTTAATTGTAGTGAAAATTATTCTGTACAAGATACATTTTTTCATAAGCAAATGGTATGGCATAACAAGGATATTGTTTTTATTACGAAGTCTTTGTTTTATGCAGATTGGTTTGGTTGTGGAATAATTTATCTAAAGGACCTCTTTAAAGAAAGACATTTTTTTGTCTATTAAAGAGCTGTCAGTACGCCTTGAGAAAAAAAGCAAGCAAAATCTTTTATTCGATTATACTAGTAAATTGAAGAAAGCTATTACAAAGATATGGTTCAGTGATCTTACAAAGAAAGAAACTGAACCAGTATATTATACTCACTCTCTAGAAATTCCTTATTTTAAATTTGGAAGAGTATCTTTACTTATCAGTGACGTAAGCAGCAAACGTTTCTACAACTTGATATCTTTTAAACATACATTCAACAACAGATGCTGTCTTTTGGGGGGAAATATACTTTAAAGAATGTTGACTGGTTTTCCGTGTTCAAAAGGAATTGAACATATACAAAGGGACATCGAATAAGTGAGTTCAATTTTAAATTGCTGTACAATATACTACCTGTTAGAAACAATCTTTACAAATGGGGATTAGCAGACGACAGATACTGTTTCCAGGGCCATGTCATAAAGGACATAGTGCATGCGTTTATCAAATTCAAACAGAATAAGAATTTCTTTGATTATATCAAACATGTACACTTTTAATATTGATTTTGACATGGATATCTCTTGTTTACTTAAGATTAATATTGACACAGAGATACACGTTGTAACAACGATCGCATTCTGGTGTATATACAAAATGTTAGTCATCCGGAATAAGTATGGATTTAATGAAAACCGTTTCAAACTAAGATACGTTTTTGAAAGAGAAATCAAAAACAAAATGGTTGTAAATCAGGAGTTTAAACAGCCTGACCAGAGGTTGCCAAAGAAACTGTTACAAGCACTTTAGATGAAAAGTAGCAGAATATTGTATAGTTGAGAAAAAATATGTGATTTCTATTTAAAACATTGTGCGTCAATTGTATTTGTTCTCACAAATTTGTTTTGATGTTTGAATGTAAAGAATCGCCTCAAATTAGAGGCACAACAAAATACTTTGCAGTTGGTTGTGATAGTCTGAAACTTCATTGGCGAGCGAGGACAAATTTTAAGATTTGTGAGGTCGCAGTGCAAAAAAATACATCTTATAAAGAGGAAAAACCCAATCCTGATGGGGTTATACGCACATTCTCATAACGGAAGACTGACAAGACCTTTGATCATCATCATCAACTTCAGGTGGCGCTGTAAAGCGCTGCTGTGGCCTTCACGAGAGCACGCCATGCAACTATTTCACCTGCCATTTGTGTTGCACCTTTCATTCCTTGTCCAGACACTTTCTTAATATCATCAGTCCAAGATATTGGTAGACGACCTCCACCCCGTTTTCCTTCGACTGCTCCTTACAGTATTTGCTTCTCAATACCTTCAGATCTCCTAACAATGTGCCCAAAATAGTTAAGTTTTCGTTCCATGATTCACCTTCTGATGGTCAAGTCTGTTCCAATCTTTCCAGGACACACACATTGCTCTTTTTATCTTTCCATGACACCTGCAACAGCTTCCTGTAGCACCACATTTCAAAGGCATCAACTCTCTTTCTGTTATTCTTTGTCACGGCCCGGGACTCACTTCCGTAAGTAGCAATAGAGAAAGAAGTTGCTTGAAGCAGACGAACCTTCAGACTGAGAGATACGCCTCGGCTCTTCCAGATGTGGGACATATTCTGTACTGTTGATCTTGCCATTGCCATCCTTCTTCTGATATCTGTGGTGCTCTCTCCTTTGTTATTGATAATTGAACCCAAGTACTCAAACCGATTTACTACTTCAATCTTATTCCCAGCTATGGTGAAGTCAGTGTTATCATAATCTCTATCGACAACCATTATTTTTGTCTTTTTGGTGTTTAGAAGAAGGTCTTTCTCTTCACTTGCCTGTTTGATACGATTCAATAAATCAATCAGCTCCTCTCTGCTGCCGCAAACGAGAGTGGTGTCATCAGCATACCTTGAGTTCGTGATCTTTTTACCTCCAAACTTAACTCCCCCTTGAATCCTTCCAGAGCATTTCTCATAATGTCCTCAGAGTAAATATTAAAAAGGTTAGGAGACAGTATACAGCCTTGACGTACTCCCCTGCCAATTCCAAACCATTCAGTATTGCCGTTACTGGTTCTCACTGTTGCTTCTTGGTCATGATAGAGGTTTTTGATCAATTCGATGATGTGACTTGGGAACCCCATCTTTGCCATTGTATTCCACAAATGAGAGTGGCTCACACAGTCAAATGCTTTGCTTTAGTCTATAAAGCACAAATAAAGGGGATGTTTGTGTTCTCTGCTTTTCTCTAATATGTTTCGAATGTTGACAATCTGTTCTCTTGTCCCTCTACCTTCACGGAACCCTGCTTGCTAATCTGAGATCTCGGCTTGCAGTTTGATTTTCATTCTTCTGCTAATCACCTTCAGAAGTATTTTGCTTGCATGAAAAATCAAGCTGATCGTTCGGTGATTTGCACATTCTTTCAGATCTCCCTTCTTTGGCAATGGTATAAAAACAGCTCTACACCAGTCCTTGGGCCACTCCCTACTATTCCAGATATTGCAAAAGAGACGCCACATCAGGTCGGTACCTTCTTCACCTGTCGCCCTCCACATCTCGGAAGTCAAGTTGTCAAAGCCAGGGGACTTGCCATCCTTCAGTTGTTTCATTGCAAGCTCCACTTCTGATCTTAATGGAGGGGGCTCCATTTCATCGCTTTCCTCCCACTGAGTGTCAACTTGTTCCTGTGCAGCAAACAGCTTGGTACTTTACTGCGCCCATCTTTCCTTGGTGTCTTCATTCTCCGTCAGTGTTTTGCCATTTTCATCATTAATTACATCCAGTCTTGGGATTCTTTTCTTTGTGATTTCTTTCACAATTGCAAATGCTGCCTTAGAGTTGTTCTTGTGACACTCTAGGTCTTCACACTTCCCCTTGATGTATTTCCTTTTGTCCTCCTTCACACTACTTGTAACCGCCTTATTGAGTCTCGTCCATTCTCCTCTATTGCGTTTTGCTTTTGCCCTCTTCCTGTCATCAGCAATGTCAAAAGTCTGATTTGAGATCCATGGTTGTTTCCGCTTCCTTTTGTTTGGGATGTGGTTCTTTGCTGCATTTTCAACTGTTTCTTTCATGTCTTCCCACAGCTCATTTGGTGTTTGCTCTGCTTCATCGTTTCTCAACAGCAGCTCAAACTTATTCTTCACTTCCACTGAGAATTGCGAAGGGATAATTTCCACATCATACCTTGTGGGAGCTGAATCACATTTCTTAGCTTTCAGTCTTAGTCTCAGTTTAGCCACAAGCAGCTGATGATCGCTGCCACAGTCAGCACCTGGTCTTGTCTTGACGTTCTGTAGTGAAGTTCGCCACCTCTTCTTGACCATGATGTAGTCTATCTGGTTTCTGGCTCTATCTCCCGGACTCATCCACGTCCACAGTCTTCTGGGATGATGCTCAAACCACGTGTTGCCAATGATGAAGCTGTCTGCTACACAAAATTCTTCCACTCGATCTCCTCTTTCATTTCTGCTGCCAAGACCATAATTGCCAATGAACTCAGATTTTTCCCTCGTTTTACCAATCTTGGCATTCCAGTCACCCAATATCATGAGGAAATCTTTCTTAGGAATGCTGTCTACGACATCTTGTACCATCTCATAGAAATCAATGATATCTTCCTCCGGTGCATCTGCTGTTGGTGCATATACCTGGATTATGGAGATATTGATAGGATGCCCTTGTAATCTCACAGTCATAATCCTCTCGTTGATCGGGTTGTATCCCAAGACACATTTAGCTGTAGCCTTCTCTATGATGAATCCCACACCCCTTCGCTTCCTTCCTCTTTCTTTCCCTGAAAAGATGATTGTATTTCCTTCGTCTGATGTAAATCTGCCTTGTCCAAGCCACCATGATTCAGATATTTCCAAAACTTTAATATCATTTATAGCCATCTCCTTCTCCACCATTTCCACCATTTCCACCTTCCCATCTGACATACCACGCACATTCCACGTGGCTACATTGATTGGTTTCCTTAGAGGGGTGCTGTTCCTTTCCATCATGGGACCTTCAAGAAAAGAACTTCCTACAAGAGGTTTTGATCCTGATCCGTCATCACCCGCAGGCGTACTGCGAGCAGTACCTCTCTCTTCCGCAGTAGCTTTTGACGTATCTTCTGGCCTGCGGGTTCCACCTTCCGATACCCACTTGATTTGTTGATTTTGTACTCTCATGATGACAAACGTGACCAATTAATAATTGTGGGCGGCCAGATCCTTCCATCGCAGTACAGAAGCCAGAAGCATTGATGCCGACCTGCCCTCTGCTCCCCCATAGCCACCGTTGTCCAGGATTTGGATCCTCCGCCAACTACAGGTACTGCATCGCTGCTGCCCGGTGCAGGACGGGGTTTATTTGAAGGCGACCCGACCCGCCTTGTCATATTCTCGTCATAGGGTTATGAGAGTTTTTTTAAAGCTAACTGCGTCACCTATTAGCTCCTCTCCTCTGTTAAGAACACCGGGATCAGACTAGCACCCCGCTGGAACCCAGCCAGTATTTCTACGGTCTCGATAAGTTACATAATTATAACATTTATAACTACGAGCGAGCTTTGGGGGAAATTGCTCTTAGTCGCTTGAAATAAGGGGCACGTTCAATGATGAAAGGAAAAGGGGACACTTATCGAAAGGGTTAAGACACTTATTAGAAAAGAAATGGAGCACGTGTCAAAGTACAAAGGCGAATTATCAGAGGTGAAATGGGTCACTTCTTACACCTAAAGAAAGAGGCACCAGGGATGAAAAGGGATTTTATGAGAATGGGAATTGAGCATTTGTCGACGGAAAAGAGGCAACCGTCAGATTTTGATAGAGGCATTTATAAGAAGTGAAAGGGACATTTATCAAAAAGGGGATAGGTTCCTTACAAGAAAGGGAAAAGGGGCACATATCATTGTTAAAGAGTAATTATCAGAGGTGAAAAGGGGCACTTATCGCATCTGAAAAGGGGCACTTATCGCATCTGAAAAGGGTAACTGACCATACATGAAAAGAGGCACTTATGAAAATGAAAAAGGGGCATTAAGGATAAAGGGAAACGTGCATTTGTTGAAAAAAGGGGTACCGTTCAGATTTTAATAGGGGCATTTATCGGAGGTGAAAGGGGGCTTTTATGAAAATGGGGAAGTTGGTCTTGTTAACAAGGAAAAAGAGGCACATGTTTAAATAAACGGGGCACTTATTACAGATGAAAAGGGGGTAATTATGACAAGGGGAAGTGGCACTTATAAAAAGGAAAAGAGCACTAATTAGGAGGAGAAGGGGCCCTTGTCAAAGTAAAACGAGTATCTATCAGAATTGAATAGGGTCATTTACAAAAGATGAAAAGGGGCATTTATGAGATTGTAAAGGGGATCTTTTTTTTAAAAGGGCACTTTTCATAAGGAAAATGGGCACTTATTAAAAAGGAAAGGGGCACATGTAAAGATATAAGGTGCGCATATCCGAGTTAAAAGGGGGTAGTTATTAAAAGGGGAAGGGGCACTTTTTACAAAGGAAAAGGGGAACCTCTCAGATTTGAATAAGGCAATTATCAGAGGTGAATGGGCGCTTATCAAAACTGAAAAGGGGTTCTTCCCGTACCTGAAAAGGAGAACTTATTAGAGATTAAAAAAGACACTTATGACAATGGAAAAATTAACACTTATTGCAAAGGAAAAATGGGAACTTGTCAAAGGAAAAGGGGTACGTGTCAAAATAAAAGGGACACTTATTAGAGATGGAAAGGGGAAGGGGCACTTTTACAAATTATTAGAGGCACTTGTCAAAGTAAAAGGGACACTTTTGGGATACTTGAAAAAGTGGGGGCACTGTGCCCCCCCCCCGCCCCCCCCCCCCCCCGGGAGCGCCGCCTCTTGTTCTGACCAGTTACTAGAACCAGCTCCATTTACAGTCCGTACCTATATTATTAAACATGGATATCATTAGAAAAATAATTCTACAACATTTATATTTTTTCTTAAAAATGAACGATTTTATTTCCAGCCGAGTCAGGGCAAATCTCAGGTTAATTATAAGAAAAAAGAACTTGCTCTTTCATTCTCTTTCCACAATCGAATTATACGTTCTATTGGCACATCTTTAGCTGTCTATAGAGGCCAAGTACGGTCAACTCTCAGACAAAAAAAGCTGTTAAAATTAGTTTTATCCATCGAATCTCAAGTGCGGATTCTCAGAAAGGGATATATGACAAAACATGCAATTTAGACGTCTTCAAATTATATAGGGCAATTTACCATTTATCTAAATGTAGTGCTCATGCCCCCTGAGTGCATCCATTGTTAAGTTCACTCGTATCTATTGCATCCTTGCATCGTACGTATATGCATTAACATCATCGTTTATTAAAGTCAGCATTTTCCCTCTTGAAAACGAGGGATTTCTGACTTTCACGCCCACCCTCCACTTCTTCTTGTCTCAAGCATTCTCCTCGATCATTTCGACCAACCTTACTGCTTTTTTCTTCACCATATATCTTTCTATACAATCTTTAGTCTACCTTTCCCTCATGCCATCCACTTCCAGATATAAATACACTCTTTTCACATGTTCATCATCTTCACTTCTAAAAACATGACCTATTCCACGTTAATCCACTCCTCTTTACCACTTCTAACAGTTTCTTCCAGGCCCTTCCTTCAATGCCGTATACAAGTCCATATAAATACATGACATGTATTACCTGAACTGAGTAGACGGTTTCTGCTATCAGGTCTATATTAAACAGTATGCTCTCCTTCAAACGCACCGTTTAATACTTCCTCCGTCTTATAGTCACCATCAACAACGGGATCAGATAAAAACAACTCGTATTGCATCACGTGCATAAAATATATCATACTAGGTCGAATAATTATATCCGATCCAACTTCGATCTTGTTATTAACTTACATGATTATAATAACTCAGCCCCTTCTTACCTTCAGGTAGGCTTAAAGGTACTATGTCCCATTTGCAGGCCCAAAAAATGAAAAAGTTAAATTCCAACTGCATTTGAAAGATAATACTAATTTAGAACTTCCCCAAAAAAGTTGGGGCCTGAAAATGTCTTCAAGTGGGAAAATAACGACTATTAGTTGTCAAATCGACTTTAGGGCTATAGAGCCCAAAAGTAATAGTCTTGATTTTCAGACAATTGTACCAAATGGTCATACGTTTTATGCTGCGCAAAGATTCAATCAGTTTAATCTTGGCCATCACAAGAAGTGGGTTATTGATGTAGACAAATGCTCATGTACCCTTTAAAACTCTTTTCATGTATGTTATTTCCAAAGAAGAAAAAAAAGCCAGTCACTCACTCAATAGTGTCTGACAGTTAACTCTAGCAAGTAAACAGGTTTCCTTGCATAATTTGAATATGAGGACACTGCAAACGTTTAAATTTCACAGATAGGACATACATGACATATTCATAATTCCTGCAAAGTTCTACAGCATTTGAGGTTGGCTGCAAAAGGGACATAGTACCTTTAATCAATCCTAATGATTGTACATGAGCATCATACAAGGCTTATAAACAGTGGATGTTTACGTGTGCCCAGATTTCACACTGATTGTTATATAAGTGTCAGAGGCGGATCCAGGAATTTCTTCCCGGAGGGCACACGGGGGGGGGGGGGCACACGGGGGGTAAGAGGACATTTTTCTTTGTTTCGCTCCCGAAAATTTGAAAATCGCGCCGGTCGCAAATTCGATCAGGGGGGGGGGAGCGGGGGGGGGGGGGGGGTAGTGCGCACTTATTTTTTTTTGGGGGGGGGGCCGGGGGGGGCACGTGCCCCCTGTGCCCCCCCCCCTCTGGATCAATCCCTGAGTGTAGCTCAATTGTTTCTTCTATATTTGAATGAAATACGCTAGATAATTCGATGAGAATGGCTTCCTCTGTCAATTCATATAAGAGATAGTTTAAATAAAGTTGTAATTTGTGAACAGCTGAGCCGAACATACACTACGTGCATATTAGTCACATAATTGTGACTTATCAATATTTTCCTATTGGCATTACAGTTGAACTAGGTTACTGATATATGATAATTTTGCTAAAGAGTATTCGTTTGTGCCACGTCTATTATTGCTGTGTTATATCTTTCTAAAAATGTACTGTCGAATTTTATTTTAACTGCTCTTTATAAACGTTATGCTTTTCGATGTCAATAAGTATGTTTTTAATTATTCAGGGACCCATAGAAGACCATTACGTATTGGTGAATGGGCTACCCTGACAAAAGATTAGAAATAAATAATTAAAAAATAATACAAGAAATAGCCGATTCAACCTTAACTTAATACCAGAAAAGGTAGGTAGTATTAGAAATTCGTTTTTAGTACATTGCCAAAAATCAGTGGAATTCTCTTCTTAATGATATGAATGAAATAGAGGACTTTGCTCATTTTAAGAGGAAATTAAAGGACTACCTATCACTTGAGATTCAGGGGAAAGAAGCGAATGACATGTCATATGATTGAATATAGAACACTTTTCTTTTCTCTGCCAGGTTCTTTCTTTTTAATTTTTTAGATTATTGTGTTTTTGTACGTTCTAGAAATTTTACATATTCATAATTATTTTCCTCTTCTTCCTCCTCCTCCTCCTCCTCCTCCTCCTTCTTCTTCTCCTTCTTCTTTTTCCCTTATATTTTTCATCAATGTTAAGGGCTCTGTAATCAAGGCTAGTCAATTTCGGGTCAATCAACTACGAAATGGCGTCGCTAAAATACTGCGAGAGGGGTCCTGGAAAAGTAAGTAAATTTCATATTTCTTCAAAATTGTTAATATTGTTGATGAAAACTCTATTATTTTGGAAGAAGGAAAGTATCCCTCTCATTTTGTGGCAAAGAACTTTTTGTTTAGTCGAATTATATTTTGAATAAATATCACCTCATGTCACTCCCCAACTGGGATACAGGTGGACGAATTGCACCGGTTCATGTACTTCAGTCCCATTCGTATAAATTCATGCAGGTTTAACTGTAAATGTCTACCGACGTTAAGTATTCGGTTAGCCATTAGGACAGGTACACATTTATTAATCGAATTGATCCTTGCAGTTGATAACAATCAACGGAACAACCGTCGATATCGGACACTAAAGTTTTCGGTCTAAGTATGGGTAGTCTTTGACCTTGTCTTGTTTTTGTTGATAATAAAATTCAACTGGATCATTGTTTAACGTTTTATAATACTTCATGGAAGAAATTTGGACTCTAAAGTGTTAGACCCAAGTAAGATGTAAATTTATTCTACACGATAGATCTAGGCTAGATGTAGACCTAGTCTCTACTGCCTTTGTAGGCTACAGGACTAGTCCTAGATCTGGACCTAGAATTTAGATCTAGCTACTGTATTTTGTAACATCTAAAATAACAGGAGTAAGGTCTAGTCTACACCTAACGGTAACAAGTTGGATAACCAGCTGGTAACCATCGGGACTTGAAGATCTTCCAAGACTTTTTCTGACTTGTTTTTCACTTACAGATCGATCAATCGATAAAAAGTTCTATAGAATTCTATAAAAAAAAAAATCCATATTGCTCAGATTGTCTCATTTTCGCTCGCGTGAACATTGCCAGCACAAATCACTGACCTCTACCTCCTGAACGGATCATCGCCCATTCCCATTCACTATACGTTACGTACTGAGAGGCTGTATTGTCTGACCGTTCATGATTATTCATGTTTTTGCTAAACTCGGCAAAATGTTTGCTTTTACTAAATGGAAAAATTACGGTGGGGGGTTGGATGAAATGGACATAATGAAATAGGCAGAAGTGATCTATGATAATTCATGCTTTTTATGTTTCGTGTGCTCGACCTATAATCTTCAAATCGCTTGGTAAACTGAGTCCAAAGTTAGACTTGTTTCACATGTGTATTATAGGCAATGACGAGCTTGCAACCTATTTTGAAAAATTACGGTGGGTGAACTTTCAAAAGTCAATGAGACATGAGTGCTCCAATGAAAGAGCTAGTCATAACGTACGTCGGGGTGGATGTGCTTTTCGTTTAAACAAAAAATGAATTTTTAACGATTTTTTTTTTAAAACGTCCATAGGCTAACATGTTAGGCTGCTGAATCTGACCATGCTCTGACGATAGGGGGCGTTGTGAAATGAGACTAAACGGAGCCATATGTATAGAATTTCTATACACAATTCTATAGAAATGTTTTATAGAGATTCTATAGAAAAGTGGGCCACTTTTCTATACGAATTCTATCGAAATCTATAACGGACCTCTATAGAATCTCTATAAAACGTTCTATAGAATGGCCTATAGAAATTCTATAGAATTTGTTAGAATTTGTTTTATAGAATTCTATAGAAGTTATTTTGTAAATAATTCTATAGACCATTTTTTACCAGTTAAAAACCAGTTTATTATTCAGTAGCGACCAGCAATCAATTGATAATTAATAATCAATATTGCATGACATCTGGCCACCGACTAAACCATATTTATATAGACTCCTGCAATTGCTCCATCACAAAGATCATTTGAAGCAAAATACAGTTGAGTACATATTGTTAATTAAGTAGTGCGGAGATCTTACATACATATATACAAAATTATACATGTTTTTACTGGTTAGTAAATTACATATATTAATATATCTATTTTACATCTTAAGTTACATGTTTAAAAAAATCGGACATAAATTTGACAATAATTGACTAAGAAAATATAAATCACAAAATTGATGTTAATTGTCACATTTGCTTGACAGATCATGATAATTTCATTTTCTGTGAAAACATGCAAATTATCATGAATATGCATGAGATACATATTTTCATATAGAAAAAAATTCTATAGAATTCTATAAAAATTTAGATCTATAGGAAAATTATTCTATAGAATTGTATAGAGAAAAAAGTTTCTATAGACATCCTTAAAAATTCTATAGAGAAGTGGGGACGCCATTTTTTATATTAAATTTTCTATAGAAATTTAAATCTATAGAAAACTTATTCTAAAGAATTGTATAGAGGAAACTGATTTCTATAGACAACCTTAAAAATTCTATAGAGAATTAACTTGTCTATAGAAATCTAAATCTATAGAAAAATTATTCTATAGAATTCTATAGAGGAAACCGCTTTCTATAGAGAATCCTTAAAAGTTCTATATAGAATCTGGAATGTTGTAGAGTTCTATAGAACTCTATAAAGCGTTCTATAGAATTCTATACAACTTTTTTGTAAGGGTATTTACTGGGTGTAAGCCACAAATATCTTTAAATAATTGAAATTTCTCCCAGGAAGCATTACATTTATAAAAAATAAATCTTATCAGTATGTATTCAGTGCCTGTCTTTGCAATGCCCATACAGCAATCATTAAAAAAGAAAAGACATAATTAAGTACAGTTTTCATAAACCTTGTAAGCAATGTAATACCCATCCTACAAATTCTAAAAAAATACCAAAAGGATAACTAGAATTTTTCTCCAAATCAAACAAATAAATTTGTTATCATCTTTTCTAACTAAAACTGCTTTTGTCTCAATATTTTTTAAAGAATGTTTCTATTCTTCTACTTTATCTATTTTGCAATCAAAGTAATTGACATAATCAGAAATACACAAGTTGTAGAAAAATTGAAAAAATACACTAGTATTTATTGATTGATTTTTTTTTATTTTAAAACAAAACTCTAAATTCCAATTCTAAGCAGCAGAGCCTGAATTACCTGCAAAATTATGCTTCATATGCAACATCAGCCAGCCTACAGATACAAGCTCCCTTTTACATCTCCAATCAAGAGGAACCACAATGCTAAACAAATCTCGGTATCATGGACTGGTTGCTTTCTTTTTCAACTAACACTTCCGGTAAAACAGATTTTCAAAATTAAATCCTTTGAAGCTATTACAAATGCTCCAGTCAAGGTACTAAAATGTTGCCATCGAGTACAAGATTATTTGATAAGTTTTTATCATATAATATCTTAGAGGAAGTTACATTTTTCAATGATATTCCCAAGATTTCCTGTCTTTAAAATGGAAATTTAGAATCTTACATAAGAAAGACTATACAGTTTGAGGTTAAAACCAAAGTCATAATCCATACAAGTTAGCTCGCAATTTAGGCCTGCTCTTTGGAGAAATATCATGTTAAGTGTTGTGGCTGATCTGAAGAGCTATGATTCTGTCATGAAGGTTATTGTTTCTAAACCCACATTACATAGATAATTATATTCATGTTAATAAATCTTAAAATCTTAAATGTCCAATTTCAAAGTAACAGTGGCAGATATCAGCTGCAATAGTTTTGCCGACGAGCTGTCACTTTAATTAAAAATAACTTTATTTGTGTCATTAAACAAGTTCTTATTGTATCCCTTTAATGTATTTGCTATAACTCATCATTTATAAAATGACGGTTTCATTCATTAAAGCATAACCATAATGATTAAACATTAAAGCTGTATAATCTGTGTAAATTCTATGTTGCATGTGAGCAGTGTTTTGGGGGGTCATTTAACAAGGTAGAGGGAGGGGGAGGGGCAAAGAGTGAATGGATGAGTTTGTACGCTAGTGCACGGTGGTAATTATGAAATTATTATAAAGGGCAATAGTGTGATTCAATTATGGTGTGTTTGTTTGATGATGAATATTCAAATGAGAGTATATGAATGAAAAAAGAGCATATATTTGTAAGCAGATATGGTAAGAAAGATATAGAAAAAATGGGGCACATAACAAAATAAAAAAAGGGGCACGTCTAAGAAGAAAACAGTAGCAGTTATCAGAAATATCAAGAGGCAAGTAACAAAAGCGAAAAAGAACAAATTGCAAAAAGGAAAAGTGCACTTATAATAAATAAAAAGAGATATTCATCATATGTAAAAAGGTCACTTTTTAGGAGAAAACGGGCTGCACAATTAAGTATTTCCTGTGTTTTAAATGGACCATTGTGCCCCCCCCCTCCCCGGAGTGCCGCTCTAGTATTGATCATGCCTGGTAATAATGTTGATCATTTTTTTAAAACCTCGATAATCAACAAAGATTTGTCATTGATTTTATACAGAATTCCCAATTCCTCCGAAACATACGGTAATCAAATTGAAGTTAGCCGACAATAACGCCTGTAAATTAGCCAATGAATGCTAATGATAGTATATCAATAATAGAATGAATAAGTATAAAATTGATCATAAATTGATACGGACAACACTCTAACTTAAAAGCTTAAAGCTTAAGTCGATTTGATTTTTTTGGTGAAATAGCTCCTAAAATCGAAATCAATTTTAGGCCCTTAAAATCGATCCGATCGATTTTAAGATGGATTTTAAGGCTTGATGAAACATCCCCCAGGATACAGCGAAGGAGCTTGTAGTACTCTGCGATATAGTCACATTGATAGGACCAGGTGCAACTGTTAAGGGAAATCAGATAATAAGAGTCTATATCAACAAACTATTATAAACTTTGTATATATTAGATGATGCACATGACTTGTGTACTGGTAAGGATTACAAATTATTATATGAGCAAACAAGAACCTCATACACCATAAAGATAAAAGTTAATTTCTTTGTCCGGTAAATTTTTTCATGAGACTCGGGCCCCGTCTTATAAAAATGGCTTGGACCTGTAGTAGATGAATTGATTACAATGACACAATGACTTGCATGTCAAGGTAAAATCATACATTGCTACAACAGGTACTCTTCATGTGGATTTAAATTAAGCGTCAAATACAGCAACATAAAGCTACCCATGGGCAAAACACAACGAAGGATACTACAAATATATTGGGGAAAATGCATATTTTATAGACGAAATCTTCTGTTTCAGATTTTAGACAAATCATGACAAACCCTTGGCAGATCTTCTCAACATAACTTACTCCTACAGCGAGTTATTGTGTTGTTCCGAGGAGACAAAGGTCCTGTTCCACCTGTTCCTTCCCTCACTGCTGCTACACGAAACATGTAATCTGTGTCGGGTGTCAGGTTACTAACGATGGTTGATGTTGTGACTTGGTCTACTCTCTGATCCGTTACCCAGTCACCATCCTTCTTTACGAAGACATCATATCCGACCAGAGGAGGATCACCTATGTCATCTTCTTCAGACCATGCATTCCATCGAAGACCAACTGTAGTTGACGTGGTGCTCACTATCACGGGTGCTTTCTCTATGACTGGCAGAACTGGCAAGAAAGGAAAAGAGACAGAAATAATTAATACAATTTATTGAAATAACCGTCAAAATCAAAGACACACCTATAATCTAAGTTTCTTCCTTCAAGTCAACATGTAAATAAAATTTACCAAAGTACACACAAAAAACCTAACAAAATAACTGAGTCGATCCCCTGTAAAACCCTGTATGCAGACGATGTGACTGAGAATGATTTTGCATTTAAAGATAGTGAATTCCTGTTTCCTATTACACACGTATCTCACATACGTACAGAAAAGTAAAGCTCACCATAGGTTGTGTTAGTAACGGTCGAACTGGGATAGCCGATGTTTTCAACATATAGAATGCAAACGTATCCCCCATACTCCTCTCACAGAAGTACAGTAGAGTAAAGTGATGTCACGCAGTTTGCTCACCATAGGTTGCGTTGGTAATGAGCGTACTGGGATAGCCTACACCTTCAACAGTAAGACTGCACTCGTATCTCCCATCTTCCTGTGGATGCACACTATCAACATCAAAGACAACAGCTCGTTCTGGCCCTGAGACAGTGCTAGATCTCCTGGTGATTCCTGTCCTGTTATTTATGTCTCCAGTACGTCTGTAAAGATCAACTGAGGACGCATCGGGAAGTGGGAAACCCTCAACATAACATGTGAAGCAAGATGGTTGATATGGGTTCACTCTCACCGAAACCAATCTGGATATTCCTGTCAAGAATTAAAACAGATATTAAACAGTAAATTATGCACATCAACACATCATCACAGAGAAAACTCTACCCAATCATTTTATTCAAAATATGCTCGCCTTTTGTATTTCATCCACAATACATATGACAAACAAATCCTACATGCACTTGGTAAAACATTGACCGATCATGACCAAGAATGAATTCGATTATTCGAAAGAATTCGAAAGAATACCCATTAACTGATAAGCTTGATTTTCCTGTCAAAACCAAGCAAAAATACAAATCAATACATACAACTTTACATGTCAAGAGCAATACAATATTAAAACCCGGTCATTTCATAATATTAGTATTAGTATCAAGAACTAAGCAGGAACATAAACACTATGTAACACACTTGTACATGTACATGCAGGTGTACCTAAACAAGGGAAGATCTTAATCTGATTAGTTTGTTCAAACTCTAATTGCTTAATAATGCAATACTCCTGGCAGGCAAATCAATCATTAATGCACTTTTCTAATCCACTCACATTGATCATGATGACTATACACTTGAACAACTCGTTTGTACAGCTAACATTATCCAATAACAGATAATCATTTGGATAGGATTTTTTTTTTTTTTTTACAATACACGTCCAGTTACTGCATGTCTTTGTATAGTGTAGTAGAATTTTCATAAATATATGTAGTGTATATATTAAACATTTACATAAAGAGAAACAATACAAAAGAATATACTTATGTGTACAATTGTCTGCAACAACAACAACAAAACAAATAATAATAATAATAATAATAATAATGTCTATTTATATAGTGCCGATATCCGCCATGTTCATGGTGATATACAAACAAATTAGCTTAAACTGAAGTAACAGACTTGTTCCACAAGTTTATTGCGCAAGATTAAATATTACAGCTAAACACAATGAAACACATGCACACATAGTTCCATATGCACTCTTAGGCTGCTTTTAATCTACACCATTTTCAGCTGAACAGGAAAACAAACCAGAATACAATTTGCAGGGTATACTTACTTTGACAATACGGTCCAATCCAGCTATCAAGGCATTGTCCATTGCACAGACCTCTCTGCTTCTCACAAGCTTCTGGAGCACAATGACATTGCTGAAGACAATCCAAACCAAAGGTACCCCCTTCACACTCTGAAAAACATGAAGAAAACAAAAGTTGAGTATATTGGAAACATCTGGTCAATGATTACACCTTAACACCAATAGTGAGAGAGAAGAGAAAAAGTAAAAGGACGTAGGAAGAAAAAAGAGCAGACAAAGAAACATTTTTCGAAATTTCATACAAGAATTAAGAGTCGAGAACGGTACAACGAATCGTCTTCTTTAATAAAACGTCAAAGCTTCCGCGCTTCGCAAAGAACTCTCCCCTCTCTGCACCTACCCCCTTCACGTGCTAACTACCGCCTGCCTAAAATAACATCCTAGCTATGCGTGGAAGTGTGTTACACCAAAATCAAATATGTTTCTATCAAATTATGTTGAATGATTACATTTACATAATGATTCTTCTTGATTCAATAGACAGGTTTTGAGATATTGAAAAAAATATGGTATTGCGCTCTACTTATGCATACAATGCACGGACAATGAATACAAGCACACACGTTAGCACGCCCTCATTGCAGAATTTTTAAACTTTTCCTCCATCAATGAATATATTTTTAAGGGAACATTTTATCAAGATATCTTTTGGAGGGAAACATCATCATCATCGTCATCATCTTAATCTTCATCATCATCATCATTATCATCATCATCATCATCATGAAGTACAACATCCGCCAATACCCGCCAAGAGGACAGCGGCCACTCAACTTTTCGTACGAGAAGAAGAATTCCCGACAAAAAGTAACAGTTTAGGTGGGCCTTGTCGGGAATAGAACGATTATTTGAGCGCGTGTGCCTGTGCGTGAGTGCGTGCGTGCGCGTGTGCATGTGTGTGTGCGTGTGTGTGCGTGTGTAAGTGTGTGTATGCGTGTGCGCGCGCGTGTGCGTGTGTGTGTTTTTTTCTCTGTCTGGCTGTCTTTGTTCAAAACACTATTTTATTCCTCACCCAGCAAATTGGCGCAAGTGAGATCTGACAATCTTGTAAAGAATGTTTGATGTTCAGTCATGCAAGCAGAGATTCAAATGAAAACGGTACCTAAATGTACTGGGAGGATATTCTATCAAGACATATCATGAAACCCATGATTAGATATTTATACTTCAAACAATACAACTTTTAAAAAGTGGGACTTTTTTTCTTACTCAATCTGTACATGTATGTACATATTGTAAATAGTCTGGAGAAAAATGAATGAGGAAATTTAACACCCTTTATTGAAAAAGGGGTATTTTACCTTGACATTCGACCTGGCCACTGCGTACTTTGTATCCTAGAGCACACTTCTGCGCAGGGCACTCTCCAGTATCTTTATCACATAGTTCATCATTCAAGCAATGACATTTATCAGTGCATTGAGATCCATAGTAACCGGCTTCACATTCATCTGGAACTGGGGATGATAAGAAAAATATTTAAACAACAATTCAGCGAGCACTTGCAAATAATACAAGATGGAGTCCAAAAAATATAAATTGTTGTCATTATAAATATTTTTTCTTTGGAACTAGTGGTTACATTTTTGTTTTACTATTGATTTCAATTATTACACAGAGTCTTGAATTTGATAGTGGCTTCATTAGATAAGTTCGTGTATATTTAGAAAGAAATAATCTCTTTTATTAATAAACATGAAATGGGCCTTGTGGCAGATTAGCCTGGTGCTAGACAAGTTATCCAATGAAGTCGTCCAGTCATCTGCTACTACAACTACTACTACTACTACTACTTTTAATGGAAATGGAATATATGGGAGGAGTTGTCCCCAAACCACAGCTTAAGAGCGAGCTTGTCTACAAAATTAAAAATATAATATCTTCAAGTTAATCCATTGACTTATAAATAATCTAATTCAACACAGGTATTACACAGGAGCTAATCGGTCCTGTAGGCAATGGGGTTAAAAAATTAAAAAATTACCAAAAAAAATTACGAAGCTGCAGTGTACATGTATAATTCTGATTTATCTTATTAGGGGAAAGCATGTTATATTATTTGTTATCAATGCTGGCCATGACTTACTTTGACAGTTGTCCCCAGACCAGCCAGCCTGACATCCACCTGTACATGTACATATTCCACTGTAGATATTACATGATGAACCACAGTGACATGTCTGTGAACATCCTGGACCATATTTACCCAGAGTACACACTGTAATATAATTCAAAATACAAAATCAGGATGGACAAATATAATACACTCATCAGAAAGAAATGTTGTACATGTTACCATAATTTATATTGATTAATTTCTCCTTCTTCTTCTTATTCTTCTCTTTTCCATTGAGTAGCCCCTGTCCTCAATCATGAATTTAGCCATATCATCATGTGCTTTTGATATTCCAAGAAAAAATGCAATCTTCTGAGAATTGTAGATGTTCATTATTGTATGATAACTTTTAGGTCTTCTAGATACATTTTCACTATTATAATTTGAGCACAATAATATATTGGAAGACTTACGTGTGTTACAAGCAAGACCATGAGCACCGACGTCACATGAACATCCATAAGGATCAGGAAGGCAAAAAAGAAGCCCATGACATTGTGAGGCAGGATCACTGGGTCTAAATGAACATTGAAACTCGCAGTTCAATCCAAATCGATTTCCACCATCATTTCTACAAACTGAAAAAAAATAGTTGCAATGTTGAATCAAAACCTTATAGACTGGCATATGAAATAAGATTTCATGAGATAGATTTCAAATATGGTTGGTTGCTTTCCTGTAATCTTCTTTGCAAATTACTGATGGTGTCTAATGCTTTTTAAACATAACAGTTTTTACTACAATGAATAAAGCCCTTCCATTTCAAGGATAGCAAAGTTCGTCGATCATAAAAATTAATGTTATTGAGACATTATCATGCGTTATTTAAACATTCATATGGTATTAAGGAATAAGAAACAAAAGTCAATCTTTTTCCCTGCTGTATATTATTTTTCATTTATGTTTTGTATTGATGTATTTGATGTACATGCAGTGTATATACATGTACATGTAGAATAACCCGCATGTATAATACTTTTTTTATTTCTCTATCTTCTCGGCAGGTAGAAGAATATTGAAATGAGCATGTAAAATAGATGTACATTACTCTGTTCATTTACAATGGAATAAGTCAAGACATATCTTCCTCAATTCATCTATTAAGAGAAAAAATAAACATCATTCCACATGAAGTTCTACAGGCCTACTTACTTTCTAAACAATTCTGTCCCTTGAAGTTGTTAGGACAGATACATAGACCAGACTTGTCGTCACAGACTCCAACATTGTAGCATTTATCACAGATACCATAACACTCAGGGGGACCCCACTTACCAGCAGGGCATTCTAATATGAGAAAGGGAGAGTAAAACATGATGATGTAAAATACATGTCACTAAAGATTACATTTTTTTTATTGGATAGGAGATAAGCAGGGTAAAAAAAAAATTGAAGTAGACAATTGAAAGTTAAACAATAAAGTTCTCGAACGTAGAACTATAGTGTATGTCATTGGATCTGTTACATTCTAAATATATTGACAGATAATTTTGAACTGACCTCCGTACAAATCACACCATAGATTATAATAATAATAATAATAATAATACTCAGTTTTTATATAGCGCTTATTACAATCACTAAGCGCTTCCAAATTTGGAGATTATTATCCCGGTTTTAGCTGTGCTGCCATTACGGTGCTCTAGCATTTCAAAGAATTAATTCCTGCCAGGTACCCATTTACATCAAGTGGGTTGAGTGTGGCAAATGTAGATCAATGTCTTGCCAAATAACATTAGTGCAGCGGCGGGTCTCGAACCGCGGACCTTGTGATCGACAGTCCGATGACTAACCACTCGAGCATAGCACCTGGATTTCATGATTTAAAGTTTCATATACATCTTTTGAAATTAGATTTACAAAGGGGAACAAGCTGTCCATTTTACGGTATTAAATGTGCCTAGCCTAAAAGGTCAGACTTGGACATAATCTACAAGAATACTCTAGAATAACACTTGTCAGAAATGTACACATTCATTTTTTGGATCAGTAATTCAATATTTATGAATAGGCCTATGTAACATCATCTAAATATAACTTACATGTTAGTCCAATGAATCTAAAATAAAGATTCCTTAGCAAAATATGAAGCAATACCTTTACATGCATCATCACAAACAATGTGACTAAAACATTTGTACATGTACCTCTGACGATGAGTCTGTATACTCCTCCTCTATTTTGATTCCTCTCGTTATCATAGTAGATCTCATAGATTCCTTGGTCTGATGTCTGGATTGGGTTTTGGAAGCTGATCTCAGTCTGCCCATCAAATGGTGTAAGAACCTCACTTCCATCTTTCCTCCAAGTAATCACATTGTCATTCGCATCAGGATTACTACGACTAGTCATGCTGATCATCACTCCAGTGTCATTCACATTGACAGTCTTTGTAAACAATTCATCACTTGATATGAATTTAGCTGTTAAAAGGGATGATAAGTTAAACTAATAAAAACAAAGTTAACTGTAATGTATTATTATAGTGCCTATACAGGTCACGTGCAGTATAGCTATATTTATTAAACGGTATGCTTTTATAGGACTTTGCATTCATTTATTTCACCGTTGATATATATCCAAGATTATAACATGGCAAATAGTGTGTTGCATGTCAAATCCATTAGGACTTTTCTTTTGAAGTGAACATAAACTGCATCAACACAAGTGGGCTTGTTTCAGGCTGAACTCCATACCCCGCATGATTTGCATATGAAAACTATGTTGTGCTATTCAAGTCTAAAAATTATTAAAGGGACTTTGTAACATTGTTCAGATGAGAGATAGTGGTGCTAAGGTAGTGACTTCAATGCTAGATGTACAATTAAAGATAATCTGAAAATTTGAGTGAAAACGGATCATTATTCATGGTACAAATTGGGAAAAACTTATCTGATCGATTCCTTAATTCTCCCAACTATATTATTCTAGAGTCTACTTCTATTCTACTACTTGTCAAAGCCTGTTCAGCATCAAGACACGGACAATTTAATTACATTTTAGGTGAATGTAAATTGTCACACAGCAATAAAATGGCTCTACATTCCATTCCAGACAGTTAAGTGTTGACAGATTTTTATAGCCTGTTTTATGTACTTTTCTCATGGAAAAACGGTTGGGAAAATTCAAAAAATGTTGGGAGAATTTACTGTTAATCACTGTTAGAGGGTGCCTCACATCGACGCCTTCAAAGAAAACCATAGATATCTTTGTGGTTTGAGAATTTGTTCAGGATTTTTTGCATGTCAGAGGGTTAGTATAGTAGAAGGAATATAGTAAGTAACATTTTATACAAAAATTAAGCAACTTTTTTTCATCAACCTTCAACAATGTTACCGAGTCACTTTAACAGTATCCTACCCTAGAATCTCGAGATTCATTGACATTATTCATGTGAAATATCAAGCCTTTGTAATATAGCCATCCTCAAGAATTAATCTTCAACGAGTGTGAAAGCGTCATAAGCGGAGCAGTTTTATCGAATCACTCTCGCTCCTGATCCTCCAGTCACTACACCGTCTTGCTTAAAAGCCTCTCTGCTGTATTTCAATAAGGATTATGAACGAAGTTTATCAGAAGATACCACATATAGAATTTCATCGCCAAAGATGCCCTTTCTCTGCTGTTACAGTGCATTACGTATAGTCTACAATTGTAGAATACATCTTTAAAAATAGGGAATTCCTATACTTATTATGATGAATGAAATAATAATCTCACCATCATTTCGTTGGAAAAATGTAGTAACCCTTGTAACATCTCGATCAGGTTTAGAAGCCTCACAGTAGAAAGGACCGAAACCATCTCTATCCCATCCATCTCCTGTGGGGAATATGACCCGTCTGACGAATGGCAATGAGTGTCCTACATCTGGTGGTGGTGATCTGTCTGTTGGTATGGGTGCTGATCGACCAAATGATAGTGTAGTGTCTCTATCTGGTTCACTGGGGAAACATGGATACTGACCACTAGATGTACCTACATTGGTGTATGACGTGGTCAGCACTGTGATGTGAACAACCTCACCTAAAACACCAAGAGAGAATTTTTGTTATTTTAATTATTCATACCTATACCAAGTTTTGCCATATTTTTAAGGAAGGAAGACAATGGATTTGTCCGAACTATGTTTCTTGAGTATGTGACACATTCTTTTCAATTCGTTTTATTCATTTACATCTCAGTAAAAACAATACAAAGATATAAACAAAGATAAGCCTTTGCAATATATAAGAACATGAAAATAGGGAACTAAAAAATAAGGCCAAATGATCTTGTGGAGGCATAATTCCCCAAACAATAATTAACAGAAACATATACAAACAAAACTAAAAAAAAGAAGAAACATACATGACAAAACATGACAGGGAAATCATTCATGGCAGGTAATACAAATGGAAATAATCATTACAAAATCATGAGTTTGAAAACAGTTATAGGTAATGTTTTATATTTTTAATATGAATATTGGTAAAGAATCAATGATATTTAGATATAAGAAGCGGCTTCAAGTTTCTTTTAAAAAAATGTTAAAGACTTGCATGAGGATATTTCGGGAGGAATAGAGTTCCAAATAAAAGGAGAAATGTTTCTTACTTATTTCAGATATATATTTATCTATAATGGCCAAAAATGAAAATAGTCTCGCCCACGAGTATTAAAATTAAAACTTACATTAAAAAGTATATAACAAAGACCCTAGCTCAACCAATCCACCTTTCATTTTTGAGTTATGAAAAAAATAAATTACACGGGGTATGAATAATGCAGATGTCAACTGTAAGTCTATACTCATTTTCATTTTCCACATGCATTTTGGATTTCAAACAATCAAGTAATTTATATGTACTATATGCTATAGAATAATCAAAATCTAAATCGATTGATGGCCTATTGAGGAGCAAGGCATGTGAGGGAATGCCCCTATGGTAATACTAACGTCACAAATACGAACGGAAAATGTTATTTTGATGATATTGCGTATTTCCATAGCGCGTGGACAGATCCACCAAGCAAGGTGCGCTTCATGCGCTTCTGTATACCACGATTTCGGTGCTCACACAGCATTCAAGGAATTCCTTTCTACCAGTACCCATTGAACATTATGGGAGAAGGGTGGCAATTGCAGATTGTCTTTCCGAAAGGGCTCGAACCCATGACTTTCCCATCTCCAGTCATGTTTTTAAGCCACTCGACTACGACTATATTATTATGCTTAATCGAATATTATTGTCTTTTCAGGCAGTGGCGGATCCAGCCGGCGGGAAGAGGGGGGGGGGGGCCCAATCCGTGAGAAAATATTAGTTGCGACTCAGCCACCGGTGAATAAGCGGGGGGGGGGGGTGGGGGTAGGAGGCACTTTTTTTTGGTCAAATTTTTCAGGAAATATTTTGCGCCGACTCAGTCAGCCGTTGAATAAGCGGGGGGGGGGGGGGTGAGACCACTATTTTTTTTTTTTTCTTCACCAAATTCGTGAGAATTCTTTTTAAAAAAAATTGTTTGTTGATCCGTCAGTATCCGTGTGTGTTTTTTTAATCAAACATGTTCGGTTATATACTGATTAAAACAGATCTCAAATGTTATGAATAAATCAATTATTATTAGTATTACATGACGATCAGTATCTATAGATAAATATGTGGGTAAAGGGATTATATTTAAACATACTTTCAGTTTGAATTCAGTATGATTAAAACATAACTTAATCAGGTGTTATGATGATGATGATGATGATGAACAGCATTTGTATTGCGCCATATATCTGTTTCAAAAACATTCGAAGGCGCGAGCTCCTCCAATAAAATTAGCATTTAAATGTCTGAAGGAAGATGTTATGGTAAGGATTGCTAACAAACATCGTATAGCCCGCAACTTCCGAGTTATTTCTGATGGAATGTTTTAAGCTTGCTACAAAATGGTGCACAGCAGTTGTTAAACGTATTCTAGCCATTCTGGTTAAATATTGTCTACAACAAACTCCGAGATTTTGAAGTATAAAAAAAACGATTATCGCCGAGTTGTAACATTTCGACTAACTGAATTTTGGGATTCACTAATCAGGAGATACTTCATACTCTATCTTTCTATTTCAAGTAAAGATGTGTAAACTGAATATGTTTTTTTCCCATGTTATTATGCGTCAAGTTATAAGGTGTTTATTTTTAATGCAAGGGGGTGTATAGCACATGAGCAAGAATTCTAATCATTCCCATTAATACCCTGATAGAATAAAAATAAAAATGGGGACCCCCCCCCCCCCCCCCCCAAATCACTGACACTGGAACAAGCAAACAGACATCTCATTTTTCAACAAGCATTTCTCTCGCGATCAAGATACTACTGAATAGGAAATTAACTGTGTGTGTATACATTGAAAAGGACCATGATTTGGTCCCTTTAAAGATGAAGTTGAGTTCTGGTCATGCAATTGCATTGTGAAAGAAACTGTGTGGAATCGATCAGAAAAGGTTGATCATCTAGCATATAAATATTCGTGTGTATTGCAAGGTTCTTGAATCATGAAAATGATAAGAAATTTGGTCAAGTCTTGGTAAACTTACAAGCACTGTACACAGAAAGATGTTTATTGGACTACACGAACACGTGGCGAAAAAATCCGTCCCGATTTGTACGATATTACATGCCATATTTAGAATATTAAAGCATTTGAAGAGCCATGCTTTTCAGGGAATATGGTTTATCTGATGTTCTTCCACATTTGCATAATACCAATGATAACGATCACAATTTTTTCAGGGAATATGGTTTATCTGATGTTCTTCCACATTTGCATAATACCAATGATAACGATCACAAATTATTTTTCACCTCTTCCCAGAACTCAACCTTCTCTTTAAGCATTTAACATTTTTCTTTCAAGGACAATAGTATACATACTGTAACTGACCCCCCCCCCCCCCCCCAACACATGATCGACGTAGATCACAATCTTGTAGCACGATCACCGAGGGTGGGTAAAGTACGTTGACAAAATGCTTTTAACAACGGAAGTATTTGAATTTAATTCATAGTTCAAACTCTACTCAATTAAAACCAGAGTCTATTTGCATGAACATTAGGCAAATAATTATGATACAAATGTGTACTGAACATCATTTTTGAACGGCCCTATTTATTAATTATTAATTTATTGCGATAATACGGAACTAATTTTTAGCAACCCATTCTTTTCGCAATGGTTGATATTAGGCAAAATACTTTTCTAGTTTTCGATTTAGAGCAAGGAGAATTTTTTTCCCAAAATCATGACTTCGGGGAGCGGAACCTGAGATTTTTTATCTTCACTAAAATAATTGTAAAAAAATATTCTGCTTTCAAAATAAAAACTGTGTACGGTATTGCATATAAATACTCAACTAGGCGTTGCGGCGTGCGCCTGTAATCCAGCTAACAGTGGAAGTTACAAACTGATTCAGGCGAGGAAGCAGGTTCGAAACTGAGTCACGTCTTTCGGATGGTGACGTTTAAAGGTCGGTCCCCAGACGTAAATAATCATATCTGATTGACAAACGTCTGCAAAAACACAATACAAACACACACACACTCCTTACATTTAAAGGCCAAAGTTCAGCCAATTGAACAGAGCCAGTTTTTAAAGCATCAACATCTGCAACCTTATGCATTTTGGGATCTTTTCACATCTTATGATAGGCGTATGTGAAAAGTTATTATACTAGGTTGGTGATAATATTTTATCTTATGAAAACTATTGTTGCAGGAAATCTTACGACTAAAAGCATGTGAAATATTTTTATACGGAATCTATACGATTCAATATTTAGATGACATTTTGCTTATAAAATGCATTTTTTTAAAATAAAGAATCAGACAAAGAAACAAACACACACACAGTGGCGTACGCAGGATTTTTTCAAGGGGGGGGGGGGGGGGTATGAGCACATTTATTTTGTTTGGTCCCAAAAATTTCGCAACGACTCTGCCAACCGCTGAATAAGCTGGGGGAGGGTAAGAGCACTTTTTTTTGGGGGGGGGGGTCCATAAAAAATTGCAACGACTCAAGGGGGGTAAGCTCACTTTTGGGATATAAATAGTGTTTGTTTTTTTCAATTAGGGGGGTAGGGATCATTAAAAATCCCATAACAATCCCCCGCTGCGTACGCGCCTGCACACACACAAGAGAAATGCATGGGGTTTAACATTTCAAAACCCTTATTTCTAGATGTAAGTCGGGTGCATGTGAAAAAACGAAAAACGGCCTAAAAAATTGGGAAAAATGACTTAGTTGATAATTCTCAGGTATATCTAACTATAATTATATATGCTTATATGCTCACATGACCATGATGACATTTTCATAAAATGATCGACTCAATCATGATCACCTCTGTTCGCAAACAATGACATCAATATGGATTTGAATGGATGAAAGCAACCTACCTTGTATCAATATCGGAATACAGACGAAAGGATACAGAGTTAATAAAAACAGTGTCAGTACTTTTAATGTTGCCATCTTTTCGAGTATTCTCCGCAACATCCACATTCCACACTCTGATTTCCCACAGGTATTCTCAATCATCTCTCATCCGTATACACCGTGGACTCTCACCCGACATTCATATCATTGTGATATTTATCAGTGTGAATATCCACAAACATATTCCCAGTCACGTACTTCTTTATTCACACGCGAACGAAGGGAATGTCTCGATTAATTCCAATGAAACCGCTCGCAAAGAGTCTAGCCTGAATCGGAAAGCTCGCTATACCGTGTGAGTCCAAAAAAAGTTTACACCTAGAAAATTGCCAATTATATTAAAAATCATCTATGAACAGTACATTTGTATACACCTTATGAAAGAGTGTTTTATCCCAAATCATTTGGTATCATTTTTTGTGTGGTATGTGTTCACGCTTGGATGAACAAGTGACATTGTTTGCGAGAGTGCAAAAATCGACTTGCGCCAAAGTGATGCCTACAGCATGTATTATGTTCGGATTAGTGGAGTGAGAGAATGAATTGAATGTATCAAATGAAGTGCATTGCATATACTTTTTGCAGAAGCAAAGTCACACACGTACACACACACACACGCAAAAATGTTCGTTGATATTTGATATTCGATATTTGATATTGTGTGGCATGTTTAATTTTGTTAGGGATGTTATTTGGATCTGCAAAAACCGATTTAATACTCAAATCCCAATTGTTTTATTTAAACATCACATAAGCAACTTTGGCGCAAGTCAATTTTTGCACTCTCGCAAACAATGCCTCCTGTCCATCCAAGCGTGAACACTTACCACACAAAAATGATACCAAATGATTTGGGATAAAACACTCTTTCATAACATGTATAATAATTTACTGTTCATAGATGATTAACAACTTTCTAGGTGTAAACTTTTTTTGACTCACACTGTATAGCGCTAGTATGAATTTACATCAAGGATTCTTGGAACACTTGAATGGTTATGGAATCCAGGCGCGTACACAGGGGGAGGGGAGGGGGGTTGGGGTTGAACGGTGCCCTAGTGTTTACTATTCATCAGTGTATCACACTAGTCTTGTTCAGACGGAGGCAAGTTACCCTAGGGTAAAGGTCGTGTTAAGAGCTAGTCGGGGGTAAATATGGCGAGGTAGGTGTAAAGGTTGGAGTAGTGACCGTCTGAACGACGACCGTGTTAGCTACACCTAGGTGTAGCAACCTTTACCCTAGCCTTTTGACAAGGCCTCGTGACTATGGCTATGTTCCACCCCAATCAGCGGTTGAGATGAGTCTAGAGACCCGGGGTGAACGCACGATCGAGTGGTTTTAACCGCGAGGCCTTTTGTATTCTGGATTTTACTGCTCTGCATGAATTATTCATGTCTTTGGATTTTTGACCAATCAGAATGGCCATCTCCCAGTTGATTTCGTTCGTGATTCCTTCATTATCAAAACATGTGAGAAAAGGAAAAAGGCGTAAACAAGTTTTGCTTATAAGATGAACATATAAATGATTTATACAAAATATCACATCCAAATTTATTTTAAATGCAAAATTACAAGAAAATAGGAAGCATTTGATGACTTGAACTAACAATAGTAAGTGAGATAATTGGACTTTCCATTTATATAAAATGAACCAGTCCAACTCGTTTCGTTCATTGTTATAGGTATTCGTACTCACTGACCTCAGAGATCAGTGTTCGTACTACGTAGAGTTTACTGTGTGCGTGATAGATGATATATGCCGACGTCACGCGATGATACGTTCGGTGATTGGACGCTACCATTTCGGTAGAGAATTCCAGTCGGAAACAATGGTTAATATAAGAAATCCAAACCGGATTACTAAAGGCTACTTTGCTGGGCCACTCGCTCTGGCGTTCACTCAGGTTTTGGCGATTAGTCTCTTTTTAGTCGCTCGGCGTCTATCAGACATGAGGCCTTGTCTAATGGCTACCTTTACCCTGACCTATTTACTCCTAGACAAATCCAGGAGTAACTCGCTAACACGACTAGAGGATAGCGTAAGTTGACCGTGTAGATGCTCTCAACTTACACCTGGAAGTATCTGTGACCTTTCACGAGCCAAGTTCAAGTTCAAGTTTAATTTATTTCTCCACAAATGCAAAACATAGGGAGCATACATACATACAATACAATAATAGAACATGTACATTATATATAAAACGACTCCAGTTGGAGCAATGTATGTTTTAAATAGAAAAAAAAATCAGCAACTGTGGAAGGGGTAGTCAAAAATCAAAAATGATTTGTCGAGGACTACCCCCAATAAATAAAACAAATTATACAATTAAAACTTAAAAGTAAAATATAAGGTAAAATATAAGGTAAAATGGTGAGGTGGTACCAATAACGAGAAAGAAGAGGGAGAAAAATATCAAAGACAGGGGGGTAGTGCATCTACCTATATGTGAATGTTGAACAGGATGGGTTACTTAACAGGATTAAACTTAACTTAGCCTTAAATGAATACAATGAAGAACAATTTTTGATGTCAGGTGGAAGATGACTCCATAACATAGGTCCATTGAAGGGTATCCGTTTTTTTTTTAAAGAAGTCTTAGCTATGGGTATTTGGAAACTATTTGCATTTCTTGTAGCATATGAATGAATAGAAGAGTTCAGTATAAAAAGATCATCAAAGACAGGTGGTAAATTGTTATGTTTGTACTGGAACATGAATTGACCAAGCTGCATAATATATATAGAATTTACATTTAAAATATTCATCCGTTTAAATAGGGGTGCAGTATGTGCTCGGTAGGAAGATTTGGTTATCAAGCGTATGGCTTTCTTTTGAAGAACTAAAAGTCTATTCAGAAGGGTTACTGAGCAGTTGCCCCAAACAATATTTGCAAACGACAAGTAAGGAAGCAGCAATGTATTATAAAGGTTACATAAGATTGGCAAAGGAAATAATTTATGTACAACATAAAGAATACCTATTGCGCTCGAAATCTTGGAGGCAATGTGGTTAACATGTGTCTTCCAGTTTAAGCCTTCATCTACATATATTCCTAAAAATTGTGTTGAACAGATTCTGGATAAATATTCATCATTTAATTGCACATGTAATTCATCAACATCGAAATTGATATTTCTACCTTTAAACACCATATAATTAGTTTTAGTCATGTTGGCCTTTAATTTATTAGCATCTATACACATAGTTTGGCCGACTTGGTTTCACTGGGTCACAACACGACGTACATTCTTTTGTTTTGTGCTTGCTCAACAAAGCAATTGGACAAACTCTGTGTATAGATGGCTCTGCTCTCACTTATAGTGTAAGTGAAATATACATGAGGTATTTATTGCTGCCGGGAATTTCTTACACCGACCAGCAAAACACTGTCTGAACAAAACTATTGAAATAATTAATAATAATAATACACTTAATTTTATTAGGCGATTAATACAGGTGTTTCTAAGCGCACCAATATTGTCTGACTAAAAATTACTAACCAAAACTTGAATAAACACACAAATTATAAATCTGTTCATTATTCAATAGATCATACAGAGGCCTACACAATAATTCAAATGAAAATGAGATCACACAAACAAGGAACTTTAAATCCCCTATTTTATAGCGATTACAGTTTTCAAACATTCATTACTTTCTTATGTTACGTCAGATGTGCTTCTCAGATATTTTCTGCTTTTTGTATTAAAGTTGAAATATTAAGGTTGAAATATCAAGGTTGAAATTCCCTTTAAAAATTGTGTATTTATCATAAATGGATTGCACTTGTTTCTGTAATAATTCTTTCCGGTGTTATGATTTCCTGCCTATAACTAAACCATGATAACCCTGTTACAAGTTCATGTCGACTACTTGCACTTTGACAGATACGGAAGGATGTTAAATTGGAGAAGCCAGACCTCAGACATGAAATTCAGTTTCGTAAACAGATAACTGCTCCTTTTCAACCAAATCCTAATTGCTATACAACATTTAGTAGATTATATTTTACACTTTCTTGTTCATGTATATTTACAGTGTATAGTTATGTACACCAGTGTATGTATATTTCAAAATGCAATCAGCGTCAAATTAAAATTTTGGAAACTAAATGCATTGAAAGATCAAAGAAACATGTAACACTGTCTATAGGTCTGTGATCAGTTTATCTTCATTCATGTTAGGTAAAAAAGGTTGCTTTTTTTTTTGCAAAACGCATAAATCTCCCAAATTTAGAGCAAGACCTATATAATTATATTCAATGCACAGTCCCAATGCGCAATTGATGCTCGGGTGTGCAATGCAAGGAAGGAGCCCTTTGTGAATTTACATAATTATGTTATGCCATCCTCCAACTCCAAAAGTAGAGTCAAACTATTTGTAATACCTCTCTCCACTAACCCTCAAATCATGCCTGTAGGTGCTGTCCATATTGATTTACTAAGTATTTGATACATGTTGAAATAAACATTGACTTGAATTATAATAAATACTGAATAATTTATCATGGATATATTGAGTTTTGCAAAAAACAATTGAAAATTATGGGTTTTCATGAAAAAGTTGTTTATTTCATGTTTTCATTTTCTTGCATATACTCATGGCAAATCGTGTTCTTGGAATGCCTGATTGATAGGGAGACATTGAGTTTGTGACGAAACTCTCCGCACAGGGTTGAAGTTTTGCGTGATTTACAGTGTGAGTCAAACAAAGTTTACACCTTAAAATTGCTAATTATTTTTTAAATCATCTATGAAAAGTAAATTATTATACATTTTATGAAAGAGTGTTTTGCCACAAATTATTTGGTATCATTTGTAAGTGGTTTGTGTTCACGATTGGATGAACAACACACCCTGTTTAAGAGAGTGCAAAAATAGACGTGCGCCAAAGTAATAAATGTGATGTTTGAATAAAACAATTGGAATTAGGGTATTATTTCGGTCTTTGCAGATCCAAATAACATCCCTAACAAAATTAATCATGCCACACATATCAAATATCAAAGAACATGTATGTTAAACATTAACTTATGTGTATTTTACTTTCTTTCTTTATTGAATCACCTGATTCGTTTGCCCACAATTATACAATTTTACAGAAGTGCGCCAGGGGTGTCAAAATGACACATTAAAAATGTTCACTATTATTTGTATTATTATTATTATTAACATTTGTGCGTGCCTGTGTGTGTGTGTGTGTGTGTGTGTGACTTTACTTCTGCAAAAAAGCATATGCAATGCATCTCATTTGATACATTAAATTCATTCTCTCACTTTAATACTTTGGCGCAAGCCGATTTTTGCACTCTCGCAAACAATGCCTCCTGTATGTTCATCCAAGCGTGAACACATACCACACAAAAGTGATACCAAATGATTCGAGATATAACACTCTTTCAAAACATGTATGATAACCTTTCGTCCATAGCTTTCTTTTTAAATAAATGACAATTTTCTAAGTGTAAACTTTTTTGGGCCTCCAGCACGGGATAAAAGTTAAATAAAAGTTCAAATAATAACAGTGTTGAACTTACAAAAAGCAGTGTGAATATGGAAATCATATTGTAACTTTCTTAAAGCTTATCTGCCATAGTTTACAGGAGAGATTAGAGCGCCCTGCAAGGTCACTGGACAGGTGGTTATCTCATCAACTCAGCTCTCAGTTAACATAAGAAAAAGAGGATCATGGGGGACCAATGGGCACCGATTAGGCATTGTTTGTTATATAGAGGGCGCAAGTAGCTACAAGTAGTGCAGTGGGCCTTTAACTTGTTGAGAAACACATATCCGCAAACCTGTTTTTTAAACAAAGTAGCAACTGATCAATATTTCAAGTGTCAAAAGTCAAGGATGAAATCATTTCGTAGCCAGTTTCTAGAAACGTCTTCCATCTGACGTGGAATATATGAGTATAGGAAATACAAGACTTTTGATATTAAATGAAACATCCTTATCTAGCAGTGAATTCAGAAGCAATAGGCATTTCAGCATAATGTCACTCTGTTCAGGAAGCTGTAATGAATGGAGATACCGTCTCGAAAGAATTTTCCGAGGGAAAAATATTCAAGATTAACCTGGCTTAACAAAAAGAAATGTAATCCTCTCCAGCCATCATTTCCATCAACAGCTGTCCATATCAATGCACGGTCCCTCTCTGGCATTCCAAATAGTATGAAATGTTACGCAACGCCATCTGCTTCCCCAAGTTCTCTATTCACTCTTTTGCAAAAATATGCAAGCATCGAGCTTTGAAGCCATGCGTGGCACCGACAAATTAAGTCATGTTCAGTGAAGATGTATTTAGCTATAACATATAAAATATAGAATTCACAACATATGACCAATGCAACTTTCTATTAGTCATCAAATGCTTTTCCGTTCTCAGATAGCTCTACTGAAGACATGGCCATTTCAACCAGCGAAATCGACCAAGGAAATCATGAGTTAGAGCGAATGAAAGGTTTTCATCATCATGATTTTCTCATCTAATTATTTACATTTTCCGAAAATTTCCGAAATTTATTCATAGCTAGGAAGGTAGTCCAAAGGTTTATCTTCCTAAAGAACTAATTTAAATTGTGTTATATGTTTGCGCATTTATTGATTTAGGGCTAGAAGTTGTCAAGTTATCACCACTATTCACACCAAGTACGGGCCGGAAAGCAAAAGCCGCCGTGCTCGCTGGGCTGGGCTGTGTGTGGAAAGGGAGGACTTAGTGCTACTAGGGAGCTGTACGGTTTCGGAGGGGGATTAAGGGGATTACGGTAGGGGAAACAAAAGACGCGCGGTGCCACGGATG